AGCTGATTATTGTTTGGTATATTCAAAAAATGAATAATGATAAGAAAGTCAAACAAAGAGAATGATTTCACAAGATAAATTTGAAGTGGTTTGCCACATCAGTAATATATTAATAAAATATGATCCATATGAATCTCATTTTCCTTTTGCATTTTCTTTATATTTTTACGATCTTCTCTTTGTTTTGGATTCATCCAAATCCAAATTCTCTCTTTCAAATCTTCATCCTTTGTTTTTATTTCTCTCATCTCCCCTACAAGGATTAACTATAGATTTAGAGTTTCTAACATCTAGGGTTCAACCTAATCCTTAAGTTCGGCAAAGTCCACTGGAGGAGGAACTTGGCAAAAAAAGGGAGATGAGAGTGAAAAATAGGAGATTTTGAAAGGAAAAAGAACAGAAAGGATATAGAAGATAAATTGATAAAAATAACTTGATTTAAATTTTTTAAAATTAATATATTAACAATGTGGCTTGCCATGCCATTGGTCCATAAATTTGTCCTCCTTATTCGACCTCTATATCATTGCCCTTAAAAGATTACTAGATTGTTGAAACAAAAAAGATAAATTTAAATTTTAAAAAATTTGTTTTTACTTATCTATCAAATTTAAAAATTGTTAAAAAAATTGAGAAGTTTAAATTCAAGTTATAAAAATATTTAATTTCACAAATTTGAACTATTAAATAAAAAAAACCTCTTTAATTTTGAGTTAATAAGAGATAAATTTCAAAATAAATCTTAAATTTTTTAAAGAGAATACAACTCATCTCTTTATAAAAAACCAAACATTCGATCAATTGAAAATTTAAAGCATTTAAATCTTGAAGCTTGCATTTAGGAATTTAAGAAAGAAAATACTTGTGTGATAAGAAATGTGTTACCATATAATTCTATCATCTCCCTACCAATTAATTAGAAATCTATGGATAAAATCTCATTAAAATCTTCACATATATCTTTCTCAAAAAAATAAAAATAAAAATCTATCATGTATACCATTATGGCAATTAATTATTATTATTATTATTATTATTTGGGTTTGTTTGGTAATTTTTTTTATATGTTTATGTTGTCACCAACGAGTGGTAGCTGAGCTTGAGAGGAGGTTGAAGGGGAATATCTACCTCAAGGTTGGAAGAAATATCTAAAAGAGATACGTGTAAATGCTTAATTAGTCAGTCCGACACATAAGTAGGGTAGCCATGAAAGAATTTTAGAGAGCTTCTCTGTGTGCATGTCCAGGAGAAAAAGAGGAAGAGATTTTAGGGGGGGAAAATGAAGAGAAAATGAGTGGAGATATCGATATCATTACTTATCATTTGATTTTGTAGTACTCCTAGTACCCTTTTTAATATTGGCCATGTGACATTTCTACTTCATTTAGCTATTCTCCAAGCAAGGCAATTACAAGGAATCTGTCATGTGATTGCCTGACTTAACCCCGTGTCCTTTGAGTTGGGCATATTATCAGTGCAAATCGAGGTATAAAATGTTACAATTGAAAGAAGGAAGAGCCCCGGTAGTTGGAGCATATAAGATGCTTGCTTCAGCTAACTATACTTTACAAGTGGCAAAAACAGAGCTCTTCCATTCTTGGGTACAATCCTGTACTTCTGCACAATTGGGATGCGAATTCAAACTTATGTATGAGCTTAGGTAAGAAAGATATATCCTTAAGTGAGTCATACCAGAATACGGATTGATTTTGTTATTGTAATGATACATATTAAATGTTGAAATTTTTTGTGTATTATTTTAGATTTATAGTTATAAATATATTTTTTTATAAATTAAATATCAAATTTTAAAATAAAAAAAAATTAATATGTAAAACTATCATCTTCGTATAAATTAAAAATAAGTTTAAAATGATTTTATTTATAAAACATCCATAGTTTTTTTCTTGTTTTTTTAGAACATTAAGATAATATTAAGAAGTATAATAGTGTTCAAGATTTAATGTCATACAATCCATAATGCAAAATACTTTTACAAGGAAAAAAATTCTATCTTTTAAGTATAACAACAAATGCATATAAACTCACTAGAATTGAAATCGGATTTAACCATTACATAAACTTCAAAAATACTAAATATTAAAAAAAAAAAATTACCAAAATATGATCTGTTATAAAATCAATATATATCTCCGTTGTTATTGCTTAGAAAGTGGAAGAAATAGAGTTAGAAGAGGGAGCAACAACCAGCGAGCATTGGGGAGAACTGGAAGTCTAAGGGTAC